AGACTGGGCCAGCTAAAACAACAATGACAACTGCAACAACAACAACAAATAGCTGGGTGTTGTGGTGGGCGCCTATAGTCCCAGCTACTTGGGAGGCTGAGGCCAGAGAATCGCTTAAGCCCAAGAGTTTGAGGTTGCTGTGAGCTGTGATATCACAGCACTCTACCCAGGGTGACATAGTGAGACTCTGTCTCAAAAAAAAAAAAAAAAGAAAGAAAAAAAGAAAGAAATATATGTATGTATACTAACCTTGGTATATGTAAAAACCTATGAATATTTATGTGACTGTAGGAGTCAAGGTTCTCTAGAGAGACGGAACCAATTGGAGCTGTATCTTCCCCTGCCTTTTCATTCTCTCCAGGACCTCGGCCGATTGGATGGTCCCTGCCCCCACTGAGGGTGGATCTTTCTTACTCCAGTGATTCAAATGCTAATCTCTTCTGGAAGCAGCTCCCTGATGCATCCAGAAATAATGCTTTGCCACTGTATCCCTTAGACCGGTCAAGCTGATACGTAAAATTAACCATCACAGTAACCGTTTGTGTCTCTGTAACTGAACATGAGTACACACCTGCCTCCCTGTCCCTGATTCATTACCATCTGGGTCGTTCTTGCCTTTTTCCCTCGCCTATATGTAAACTCCCACCCCAACACTGAGAAGCCTGGCCCTCACCCTCTGCCATCATTTTTCCTAATTTGTTCATTCCCAGCATACAGATGCTCCTCGATTTAGGATGGGGTTACATCTTGACAGACCCATCATCAGTTGAAAATGCACGTAGTATCTACATAGCTTAGCCTAATTTACCTTAAACATGCTTAGACCATTTATAGTAGCCTACAGTTGAGCAGAGTCATCCGACACAAAGCCTATTTTGTAATAAAGTGTTGAATATCTCATATAATTTATTGGACACATTACATGGTAAAGGGCAGTGTCAGTAGTTGACTGGGGGCTGTGGCCGGCTGTTGCAGTCCAGCGTCGTAAGGGAGTATATCAGCTGGTGCCACGTATCACTAGCCCAGGAAAAGACCAACATTCCCACTCTGAAGAACAGTTTCTACAGAATGTGTACTACTCCGGCACCATCGTAAAGTCAGACCACTATTAGTCGGGGACTGTCTGTGCGTGTGTAATATTAGAATTACTAACCTGTATCCCATGGAGTACTTGCCTTAATTCCTACACACTCCACTTATTTCCAGAGTTACTGTTTCTTTTACCCCCTTCAGGGAGGTTGTTTCATACCTCGATAGTACAATTAGATTACTGAATCATAGCCTGCCTTAAGTCCAGAGATTCCCCCTACCTCCTACATGGTTGTTTTTAAAATTTGCAAATATTAAGGATCATTCTTTGTGCTATGAGGTGCTGTGTGTTTTGACAAATGCAGTGTCAGGTACCCACGATGACAACACCACACAGAATAGTTTCGCTGACCTAAAATCCCAGCGTTTGACTAATTTAGCCTCCTACCCCAGCAACCATCGATCTTTCTACCCTTGCCAGGTTTTTCCTTTTCTTTTTCCCAGAATAATTGAAGTCACATATGAGGCAGTTTTTCCTGGAGAGCTTCTTTTACTTGGCAATGTGCATTTAAGATTCTTCGTGTCTTTTCACATTTGACAGATCATTTCTTTGTATCACTGAATACTACTCCATCGAATGGATATGCTCTAGGTTGGATGTTCCTTCACCTTGAAGGTTATAGTTTAACCTGTGGCCTTTCTTTGAAGAGTCTAAGAAAAATCATGGATATTCCCTTTCGTCAACCTTTTCTTGTTGTATGGATGGGAGCGATGGCTTCCAAACTTTTTGCATGTTGGAATGGAACCCAGAAGTTGCTTTGTGGCTTTTTTAAAAATTTAAATTTAATTTTAAAAAATTCCCATTAAATATGAGGGTACAGGTGATTAGGTTACAGTGTTTGCACTTGTTTGGTAAAGTTCAAGTTGTAATTGTGCCCCTTACCCAGGAGCTGTACCGTGTACCCTTAAATTTGTGCCTTTTAAGGTGAGAACACACCAGTTTCTCTATCTCCGCCCCTTTTGTGGCTTTTTTTTTCCTTTTGAGACAGAGTCTCACTTTATCACCCTTGGTAGAGTGCCATGGCATCTTAGCTCACAGCAACCTCAAACTCTTGGGCTCAAGCTATTCTTTTGCCTCAGTCTCCTGAGTAGCTGGATCTCCAGATGCCCACAACAATGCCCAGCTTTTTTTTAGAGACAGTGTCTCACTCATGCTCAGGCTGGTCTTGAACTTGTGAGCTCAGGCAATCCTCCCATCTTGGCCTCCCAGAGTGCTGGGATTACAGGTATGAGCCACCGTGCCTGGCCTTCCTTTTGTGGCTCCCCTACCTGCTTTCCCTCCAGTTGAAGGGGCTGGGTTGGGGTCATTTTACATAAAATATCCTGACCTTTGCAAAAGCACCAGTCTTGAAGAGGAGAAGCACCAGTTCTGTGTTAGTGGTTGCTGTGAGGGTCACTGTATACCCTCCCTGCCTCCCTCTTCTGACATTGTCTAAAGCTGTACACTGGGGTCCTGGGGTAGTCCTATTAGCAATGAGTATACCTGGCTCCCATATGCTGGCTTTTAGATACCATTCCTCAATGAAGGCACCGGAGCTTCTTGGAGAAATGGCTGGTTCTAGGGGTAACGGTGAGAAAGTACAAGATGAATTTGGAATATTTTATTGTGCCAGAAGATGTGACAAATGATCGAGACATGTCCAAAGGAACATGAAGGGTTCCGACTGGCCAAGGCTGGGACAGTTTGGGCATCAGAATAAATAATGATGGCAATGGTTTATGCCACATTTAATAAAGTAGGAAAACACGAGACCATCCTGATATAAATAAATATTAAATAAATGGAATGGGAAATTTACAGTTCCAAAGTATGTCGCCATAGGATACTTGTTAATTACAAAGGAAAAAGGAATAAGTTTTTAGTGCAAAAGCCTGGCAAGCCCTGTTTTAATCAAGTGATCAGAGTAAATATTGCCAGGACTGGAACAAATGGAAATAATTTGCCACCCGATAGGATGTGACAAAAAGAAGACAGCATTACTCTGTGATTATTGCCAAAGATTTATAACCTGAGCCTAATTATGATAACACTAAAGACAAATGCAGACTTTGGGATACCCTACCAAAAACTGGCGTTGGGGCTCTGGCTCACACCTGTAATCCCAGCACTCTAGAAGGCTGAGGCAAGAGTACTGCTTGAGGGCAGCAGTTTGAGACCAGTCTGAGCAACTTAATGAGACCCAGTCTCTACAAAAAGAGTGGTGGCACTTTTGTAGTCCCAGCTTCTGGGGAGGCTGAGGCAGGAGGATCCCTTGAGCCCAGGAGTTGGAGATCGCAGTGAGCTATGACAGCGCCACATCAGCCAGGGTGACAAGAGCAGACCCTATCTCCAAAAAAGGAAAAATGAAAAGCAAACAAAAAAACTATGTAATCTTCAGAAGGGCCAAGGTCATGAAAATCAGAGAAAGGCTTTTCCAGACTCATGTAGACCAAAGAGACATAACAACTAAATGATTTTGAACTGGGTCTGTTGCAGCAAAAGGACGTTACTGAGACATTTTGTAACACTTGAATGGGTTCTGAGGATTAGATGGTGGGACTGTATCAGTATTAAGGTTCTGAATTTGATGGCTGTACCGTGCTTACATAGGAGAGTGTCCTTGTTTGTACAAAGCATATACTGCAATATCTGAGGGGTGATGGGGTGTCGGGTCAGTAATTTACTCTCTAATGACTCAACTTTTCTTTACATTTGAGGTTTTGAAATAGGTAAAATGTGCATATTACTTATTCAGGCCACTTGTGGCCCTTACTTAGGTCCTATTAGTTAAGGATAATATGTCAGTCAGGGAAGGGTCTTCATCCTCTCCTGGCTGCCTTGATTCTCAGACAGTGGAAGACTGGAAGGAGCAGGTGCCTTTTCTTTTTTCTTTTTTTCTTTTTGAGACAGAGTCATACTGTGTTGCCCCAGGCTAAAGTGCAGTGCTGTCAGCCTAGCTCACGGCAACCTCAAACTCCTGGTTCAAGCGATCCTCCTGCCTCAGCCTCCTGAGTAGCTAGGACTACAGGTGCCATAATACTCAGCTAGTTTTTTTATTTTTGTTAGAGACAGGGTCTGGCTCTTGTTCAGGCCAGTCTTGAATTCCTGAGCTAAAATTCCTGATTCTCTTCCCTCCTCCTCCCAGAGTCCTAGTATTACGGGTTTGAACCACCGTGACTAGCTGCTTTTTAAAATTTTTAAAATAATGCCATTGATTCTAGAGACCGTGCATCACAACAGAATGCTGACTGTTCACTCACATTGTGTGCTTTTTAGGCTGTGAAGCACTTTGATACGTTTTCTTACTTGTTTCTCACGGTACCCTCTGGAGCGGGCAGGGATGCTTCTCCCATATTGGAGAAAGGACAATACTGACACAGTCCTTTTTACAGGCCTGGCAATAGTCTAAGCGCTTTGAATGTTGGCTCTGTTGACTCATTTCAGTCTCAGCGTCACCCTATGAAGTAAGGATACTATTTTTTTTTTTTTGAAAGCAGGGCACAGAGAAGTTAAATAACTTGCCTGAGGTCACACAGCTCAGAAGTGGTGGAGCCGAAGTTCAGATCAGAAGATCTGACTCCACAGAGCCTGCTTATATATTTCCCGGGGTGCATTTCCTCAGCCAGGCTAGGGGACAGTCCAGAGACCCTTAGTTCACTTACTAATTTAGCAAGTGGGTGTTGATTGCCTGTAAATGCCAGGATCCGTCCCAGATGCTGGGGAAACAGGAACAGGGCAGAGCGTTGGCCTCATGGAGCTTGGGCTCTTGTGGGTGAGTTGAAGAACTGGTGAAGAACTGAAGAAACTTGCACCCCAGCCCAGAGTGCAGACGCTGACCACGAGCACAGACGGCACTGCGCTGGCTGGGTGTCCGGCCGGCCTGCTCAGTCCCTGTGCTCACACGGGTGCCCTCTGCTCTCTCCTCTTGCAGGTCGCCTGGTCGGCGCTCTGGATGCAGTGCTGGACTCCAATGCGCGTGTCGCTCCATTTCGAATTCTGCTTCAAGTTCCTGGGTCCCAGGTTTATTCTCCCATAGCATGTGGTGAGTTACTGAATGGATCAGACGTTTACTGGGCCATAGCCACTGGTGAGTTTTGTTCCAGGTGGAATGTTCCACACCTTAAGGTCTAAGCATGCCGAGTATCTGCATGTCGGTGACGCTTGAAGGTAACCACTTCAGAACCTTGTCTGCTTTTAGGGCCTCAGCCCCACTCTGCTGTTCTCTTCAATCCTGTTCCATCTGCTCTCTCTCCTCCCCTCTTCTCTGTCCTTCCTCCTCCCCTCCCTTCCCTCCTTTCTCCCATTTTTCTCTTTTTTAACTCTCAAAAGCACATAAAGGCTACAAGCTTGGCAGTGTGGCCCGGGCATGCGGGGCTTTGAGTGGTGTGTTCCTGGGTGCTCGTGTATGGTATGAATCGAGCCGTTTTCTTCTTAATCTTGTTTCTGACTTAACAAACATGATCCTGGGTGCACACATATACTGCGATAGTATGGGGGCAAATTCCAAGGGTGGCGTCTGCTGTAGAGCAGCCTTTACCCCCTTGTTCCACGTTGGCAGTGAAAGAACAAAGCCCTGACTGTGGGGTGCTGCGGGGACGCAGGCGCTCGGCTCCTTCTGAGGTTTCTCTTCCTCCTCCAGGCATTACCTGGGGCTCTGTCTGACTGCTCAGGTCCCTCCCGGCTGGGAATTATAACATCCCAAGAAGCCCCTTCTATTAAAACGCAAAATCAAAATGTGCCTTTTTTGTTTTCTTTTGCACAAATAGCCACTGTTCATCGTCCAGAAATTAAAAAGTAGAGTAAAAAAGAAGGAAAAAGTTATCTGCAGCCCTTTATCCAGTGTTCATCTTCTGTCTCCAGATACACACAAAAGTTTTTAGTTCTGTGTTTTCTCTTAGCACTTGATGAGCTATTGTAAACTTTTCACCATCACCTCAACATGTTCTCTGGCAGCAATGGATTTTTTTTTCCTGGAAAAATACGGAAAGGACGAAGAAGAGAATTCTCATCGTATCCCACTATCCGATACTAATCACTGTTAACAAATCAGCATGTTTTTATTCAGTCTGTTTTGTTTGGGTTTTCAATTAAGACAGATTATTGTGTATTTGCATAGAATGATAAACAGGCTGCATGCGCCATAGAAAGAAATCAGTGAACACTGAAAAGTACAAAGAAGAAAATATCTTTCACCCCAGATCCTAGCCACCCCAAATAACCTCTGGTTCCCCGAGGTGAATGTCATCCCAGACAGCTTCCTAATGTGTTTAGACGTGTACAAGGACCATGGCGAAGATGGATGAGAGTATTTTTATAAAAATACAACTTCTCTGTCAGTGCTATTTTATAACAAAAGTATGACGTTTCCCTGATTTCCATAAAAGGAGAGAAACTGAAGTGAAGCCAAGGAAATGTTAAACTTCAAATAAATGTTTCCTTTAACACACGAAAGATTATTTTCTAAAAGGTTCATGTGAGGTGAAGGGAAGAGATTTTTGAAATCTCATAATGAAAGCATTATGAAGTTAGAATTGTGGCTTTTGAAAAACAATGTTTTAATTCCGAGAATGTTCAATGACTCTCTGCCCTTATGGGTCAAGGGCGTCAGCATTCCTAATCTCTCCTGCTTCTCCCATCTCTCACTCCAAAAAGTTATATGGTTGGTTTTACCTTGTAATTCCCATTCTGTCCTGTGACTGTATTTAAATAGTGATTGCTTGACTCAGTTCCCATTTAAATTGATTTAATGCTTCTAACTACTGATTGCCAATTCAGAGTCTTTTATTTGGGTTTATCTCTCAATTGGCTGGATTCCTGTTTTCTTCCCCTGATACCACCTGAGTGCCCTCGTCTCTGAATGTTTTCATGTTTGCAAATATTTGTCCCTTGTTTTTTGGACTCGAGTGACACCTTGGCTGGGTATGATAGTCTGCTGCTCTGGGGTTGCCAGTATTTGACAGGATGGTAGCAGAAATCTCAGGCTGCTCTGATATTTCCCCCCTTGTGGGTGGCGTCCTTTTTTATGGGTGTAACTCTTGTCTTTGTTGCAGAGTTTAATCATCTGATTAGACTCTCTTCCTGCCATGAGCACAAATGTGTTACATTTTTCTGGAATACAGTGCACTCTTGCAGTCTGCGGATTGATTCCTGTAGTCACTTGGGGAAATTTTCTAAGGTCATTCTGTGTGTTAGATTTTTGGATGCCTTTTACATTTCATTTATTGGCTTCTCTACCTCAAGGACACTTTACCTTGGATATCGGTTCTGCTTTTCCTTTCTGTTTTTCTCTCTCTGTGCTCTTCATTCTGTTCATAACTCTGTTCTGAGTTAATTATTCACTTTTCAGCAGTGTATTATGTGCCTTGATGCGTTTAGCTCATCTGCCAATTTTTGTTGTCCTGTTTTGATTTTCAGTTCATTTCCTTACATTTCTAAGATCTCTCTCTCTCTCTTTTTTTTTTAAATTTGTGGCTGGGACGGGGTTGGAACTCACCACTTCCAGTATATGGGGCTGGCGCCCTACTCCTTGAGCCACAGGCGCTGCCCTTTTAGAATCTCTTTTTATCTGTTTCTTTATCATCTCATCTGTGAGCTCTTCATTTTACTGAATTTGAGTCCTTGTCGTACTGTTCTGGAGCGGGCCGCGTTTGTGAGCATTTCTTCCTCGTCCTTCAGTGCTCTGTTTCCCCCCAGGACGGCACCTCCTGCGGCCCTCGGGTGCTGTGATTGTGGCTTTGTTGCTGTGCTGTTTCCCTCCTCTTGCCCAGGCCTGGGCATTGTCATCCTGGCGTGATGTTGGCACTAACCTAGTGTCACCTTTTAGCTTCTGTCATGGGAGCAGAGGAGGGAGGACTGGTGGGACACTGGACTAGATGCGGTAGCTGATGGAGTTGGGTTCTCCCCCTTTTCACATTTCTTGGGCGGTTTGGAGCTTTTGATAAGACTATTTGGATTTTTCTCTCCTTCCTCATTTGGCTTCTGGGGCAGCATGGGGAGTTGCCTACATCTCCTGTATTCCTGAATTCACACACTTTGAAACCACAGCCGTTTGGTGTAGGTTTATTTTATTTTTAAAGAGACAGGGTATCCTTCTGTCACCTAGGCTGGAGTGCCTCAAACTCCTGGGCTCAAGTGATCCATCTCCCTAAGCCTCCTGAGCAGCTGGGACTACAGGTGTGTGTTACCATACCTGGCTAATTTTAATTTTTTTAATAGAGATGGGGTCTTGCTATGTTGCCCAAGTTGGTCTCAAACTCCTGGCCTCGAGCGCTCCTCCAGCCTTGGCCTCCCAAGTGTTGGGATTATAGGCCTGAGCCACCAGGCCCTGGCCAGTGTAGTTATTAATGGATGTATGGCATTCAACTCTATAGATGTAGATCAACTTACTCACCTAATGCTTTATTAAATACTTAATTGGTACTGATTTCTTAGGATTTTAAAAACTGAAGAAAACATCCATTCCTTTAAATCTTTCAGGACACTGCTCAATCCCCAAAGGCCATTTTTTTGACATGTTCGGTGCCTGCCAAGTACCAGATACATGCTTGAAACTGCCCTTTAGGAAGTCAATAGAAGGTGGGAGCAGTGGCAGGGGCCCGAGCTCTGCAGAGATATAGGGATATATGTAAACCCAGCCATTCATTGTTCCCTAACTTGCTGTCTCTAATTGCTTACTCAGAAGTCACACAAGTGATGGTCTTAAAAACTCTCAGTCTTCTTCATTGCTATTATAGATAACATCCCCTTGGGAAACAAGGCTGGTCTTTGGGATATCTTCCAGACCCTGCATTCTGGCGGGCCACTGACCTAAACCAGACCAGTGCACTGAGACCTGAGAACTAACTCAGCATAAGAAGATAGTTTCTGCTTCCTGATCTTATGAATTCATCCCTAGCCAATCAGCAGACCCAATTCCCTAGCTGTTTGCTTGTCAGTCTTTAAGAACCCTTTGTCCTAAATTCTCGGGGAGACAGATTTGAGAATTTCCTCCGTCTCCCCCATGGCACCTGCAGTAGTAAACTCTTTCCCTGCACAGCCCCTGCTGTCTTGGCATTATTGCCTTCCTCTTGAGCAGCGGGCAGTGAACCTGGGAAGGCTGTAGCATGCTTGGGGGTTGGGGATTCTGTGGTGGTGCCTGTATGAGGAGCAGTCTTCCCTCACCTGGCTTTCCAGCGAGCGCAGGAATGCAGAGACCAGCATGGAATGATGATTACAGGTGTAAGAGACCAGGAAAGTAGAAGAGGAAAGGACACACCGTGTCTTGAAGGACACACCGTGAAGACTATCATAAGGAATGGCTGCACTGAAGGGACAAGTGTTTATAATGCCTTTAATATATATTTCCTTTTTGTTTTGACACGTAGAGTCTCACTCTGTTGCTCCAGGCTAGGATGCTGTGGCATCAGCCTAGTTCACAGCAACCTCAAACTCTGAACTCAAGCAGTCCTCTTGCCTCAGCTTCTCGAGTAGCTGTTTTTAGTAGAGATGAGGTCTCATTCTTGCTCAGGCTGGTCTCAAACTCTTGAGCTCAAGGGATCTACCCACCTCGGCCTCCCAGAGTGCTAGGATTACAAGAGTGAGCCCCTGTACCTGGCTTATATGTATTTCCACATTGCCTGCCATAAAGTTTGCACCAGCTGCCCTGGCTTTGTGCCCCCAGCAGTGTATAACGCTGAACAGGTTTAACTCTAATATCTTTCTGTGGAACCAAATCTCCTTCCTTTGGATCCCGCTGGGCTAGATTTTTGCCTTGGGCTTGATGCAGGCCGGATCTGCAGAAGCATCTCCCTTTCTGCCCCCATCTTTCCCCCTGAGTAAGAAAGTGTTCTTTTCAGTGTGCTGTTCTTGGGCTCAGGAGGAGAGAATTGTGAGTGTATTTCTGTCTTGGAAATGTGGTATTGATTTAGCTATTCAGGCCTCTTCTGGGAGTTATTGGGCATCTTGCAGTGTGTTATTGACCCACTGTAGTTAATATTTTATTGTGTCTTTAGCATTGAGAAAGGGTTCCTGTCCAGGATTTGGGTCTCAGATATAATATAAAAGAACTGCAGGAAGGGCCTGGGTGGCCCCAGGACGTGGGTAGGAATAGGAAGAAAGGCCTTTGGGAGTGATAAAGTCTTCACTTGATTTTGCTGCCCAACCGCAGGATAGGGAGACATAGGAGAGCCTTTGAGGACACAATTCTTTCTCTGTTTTTAAGCAGAGATAGGTATTTAATGGACGAACTACATTATCATTTGGCAGATGAGATCTGTGCGTAGCTGTCGTGCTGGGTAGAGTGCCATGGCATCACAGCTCACAGCAACCTCCAACTCTTGGGCTTAAGTGATTCTCTTGCCTCAGCCTCCCAAGTAGCTGGAACTACAGTTGCCCGCCACAATGCCTGGGCTGTCATTGTTGTTTA